TGTTTGTTTGTTTGTTTTTTTTTTTTTGTTTTTTTTTGTTTTTTTTTTTTTTTGGTTTTTCGAGACAGGGTTTCTCTGTGGTTTTGGAGCCTGTCCTGGACTAGCTCTATAGACCAGGCTGGTCTCGAACTCACAGAGATCCGCCTGCCTCTGCCTCACGAGTGCTGGGATTAAAGGTGTGCGCCACCATCGCCCGGCCTCCCTTTGGGTTTTATTTTGATTTTTTCCCCCCAGTTTTTTGTTTCTTTTGTGAGATAGGGGTTTCCTATGTAAACTCATTTTGTAGTTTCAAATTCACAGTGATCCTCTGGTCAGCTCCCAAGTGCTGGAATTATAGGTGGACACCGCTATGCCCCACTCCCTCCCTCCCTGGACAGTCTTCTCTCTTCTATTTCCTGGACACTGGCTTTTTCTTTAACTCTTCAGTACATCTTTGAGGAAGTATTCCAGAATTCTGGGCTCATCTCTTCCATGAGAGTCTTGTGCTAAAAAAACCAAACCAAACCAAAAAACCCAACCAACCAACCAAAAACCCACCCTACCAATAACTAAACAAAACATATAAACCCAGCCCAACCTACTACTTCCCTCATCTGCCCTTATCACATAGATCTATCTAGAGCCCATAACTTCCTGAGCTCAGTTCCTCCTTTGGCTATGCCCTGAAATCCTGGTGGCAGGCAGAGATCCTTCCAAAATACACATTCTCTGATAAAACAGCAGCGGTGAGTGATTTGTTAGCAGAAGGCAGTTCCACCAATTCTGTCCTGAGTGGGGATAACCGTAACTCTCCCTTCCTCCTTTCATTTCTTTCTCTTTTAATTTAATTTTTTATTTACTATATATACAGTGTTCTGCCTTCACAACAGAAGAGGGCACCAGATTTTGTTACAGATGGTTGTGAACCTCCATGTGCTTTCTGGAACTTAAACTCAGGACCTCTGGAGGAGCATCCAGTGCTGTTAACCTCTGAGCCATCTGTCTCTGCCTCCCAAGTGCTGAGATTAAAGGCAAAGGCGTGTGCCACTACCACCACCCAGCCCTTAGCTGTTTCTTAAACATCTCGGTTCATACCAAGCCAAAGTTCCGGGTCTCAGTCTCCCACGTTGACATCACAACATGGAAACAACCTTTGCTCAGTGCCCTTCTGAGGGCAAAGCTGCCTGCTTCCTGCTGAGGAACCCACTGCTCTTGTGGTCCTGAGTCTGGGTCAGCTTTCCTGGAGACTGGTGATCTACCAGGATCTCAGCCTGCATCCTCCTGGTTACTGGGAATCACTAAGTTAGCAGAGTCCCCTGAATTCCCAGCCTGGATTAGAGCCCTGAGAGCAGACCTGGGACAGGTATCCTGACAGTTTTGTACTTAGGCTTTTCGTCTTCAAAATAATGATGATGGGGCTGGAGAGATGGCTTATTGGGTAAGAAGACTTGCAGCTGGGCAGTGGTGGTACACACCTTTTATCCTAGTACTCAGGAGGCATCTCTGTGAGTTTGAGTCTGGTCTACAGAGTGAGTTCCAGGACAGCCAGGGCTACACAATGAAACCTTGTGTCCAAAACAAAAACCCAACAAGCAGAAAAAGCACACTTGCTGTTCAAGCAGGAGGATACACGTTTGTAAAGAACTAAACTGAGCATGCCCATGTATACCTTTAATTCCAGTGCCAGCGGAAGAGGTAGAGACGGGATCACTGGGGCTTTCTAGTTGCCAGCATAGCCAAGATATGGTGAGGGCTAGATTCAGTGAGAGATGTTGTCCCAAGGGAATAAGGTGAAGAGCCAACGGGAAAGCCGTCTGACCCCTCTGGCTTCCAAAACCACACCCACATGTGTATGTGCCCGCAGCTCGCTCACAGTGTATGTGCCCATGGCTCACTCACCCACGTGTACGTGCCCATGGCTCACCCACATGTGTATGTACCCGCGGCTTGCTCGCCCACATGCGTATGTGACCACAGCTCACTCACATGTGTATGTGCCCGCAGTTCGCTCACCCACATGCGTATGTGCCCCCAGCTCGCTCACCCACATGTGTATGTACCCGACGCTCATCCACCTGTGTAAGTGCCCACAGCTTGCTTTCTTTCACTTTGAAGATAGGATAGGATGGAGACAATGGATTACCTCCTGAACAAAAATTTCCATAGCTGATAAGATTATTTCTTTTCTTAGAACTTTCTACGTAGACCAGGTTTGGGGCTAGAGGGCTGGCTTAGTGGTTAAGAACACTGGTTGTTTTTCCAGAGGCAGGGGTGGTGGTATTTGAATTCCAGAATCCACATAGCCAGGCGGTGGTGGCGCATGCCTTTAATCCCAGCACTCGGGAGGCAGAGGCAGGCGGATCTCTGGGAGTTCGAGGCCAGCCTGGTCTACAAGAGCTAGTTCCGGGACAGGCACCAAAGCTACAGAGAAACCCTGTCTCGAAAAAACCAAAAAACAAACAAAACAAAAAAAACAAAAACAGAATCCACATGGTAGTGAGCAATAACTCCATTTCATGAACTATGATACCCTCATCTGGCCATTGTGGGGGACTGCATAAATGTGTATACCCTGTCTCAAAATACCAAAAAATAAAGAAATTTTAAACATGTGGTGTATAGACAAATGTGTAGGCAAAATGCCTGTATACATAAACTAAAACCTTTTTGGGCTGGAGAGTTGGCTCAGTGGTTAGGAGCACTTGTTCTTTCAAAGGATCCAGGTATGACTCCCTGTACCCACATGGAAGTTTATCTCCTCCTTGGGCATCAGGTATGCATATGGTGCAAAGCAATCATACAATAATAAATAAATCAATAGGGCTGGAGAGATGGCTCAGTGGTTAAGAGCACTGGCTGCTCTTCCAGAGGTTCTGAGTTCAATTCCCAGCAACCACATGGTGGCTCACAGCCATCTGTAATGAGATCTGGCGCCCTCTTCTGCAGGCATACATAGAGGCAGAATGTTGTATACATAATAAATAAAATCTTTAAAAATAAATAAATAAAAATAAAGTTTTTTAAAGAGTTAAAGGTATCATTTCTCCTTTCTTCAAAAAATTATTTATTTATTTATTTATTTATTTATTTATTTATTTATTAATTATGTACGCAGTATTCTGCTTGCATGTTTGCCTGCAGGCCATAAGAGGGCACCAGATCTCATTACAGGTGGTTGTGAGCCACCATGTGGTTGCTGGGAATTGAATGCAGGACCTCTGGAAGAGCAGCCACTGCTCTTAACCTCTGAGCCATCTTTCCAGTCCTAGAATATGTTTGCTGCACTTTCCTTTGCTATGTTAAGATTCTTGTTATTCATGGGGGGAGGAGGTGTGTGTGGCACACGCCTTAAATCCCTGCAATTGGGAAATAGAGACAGGTGGATCTCTGAGTTTGAGGTCAGCCTGGTCTACAGAGTGAGTTCCAGGGCAGCCAAGGCTGCATAGAGAAACCCTGTCTCAAAATACAACACACATACACACACATATGTTAATTCATTTTTATCTCAATAAAATAAATTTACCAGGCCAGGCATAATGGCTCATGCCTTTAAACCTACCACTCAGAAGCAGGTACATCATGAATCTCTTGAGAATTTGAAGCCAACCTGGTCTAAATATTTAGGTGTTTTTTTTTTTTTTTTTTGAGACAGGTTTTCTCTACTGAAACTTGTTTTGTAGACCAGGCTGGCCCTGAACTCACTGAGATCTGCCTGCCTCTGCCTCCTAAGTGCTGGGATTAAAGGCGTGACCACTGCCTGGCATATTTAGTTATTTTTATTTTATGTGTATAAGTGTTTTTTTCTGCATATATGTCTCTGTATATATGCATATGCATATATGCATACCTGATGCCCAAGGAAGTGATAAACTTCCATGTGGGTAGAGGCCAGAAGAGGGCATCAGATCCCATGGAATTGGAGTTACAGCTGCTCCTTAGATGCCATGTGGATTCTGTGATTCATATCCCTGTCCTCCGGAAGAACAGACCCTGCACCATCTCTGTAAGCAGACTTTCCACTAGCCAGCTCCCAAATAATCATATGGAGACTTCTTATTAATTATGAAAGCTTGGCCGATAGCTTAGGCTTGTTTCCAGCTAGGTCTTCTAACTTAAATTAACCTATTTTTATTAATCTCTGTTCTACCACGTGGCGTTTACTCTGCCAACGAGTGATGGGATTAGAAGTGTACATCACCACCACCTGGAGCATCTTCTTAAGAATCACATTGGTTTACTTATGTGTTACTTACTTGTGTGTGTGCGTGCATGTGTGGGCCTGAGTGCCATGATGGGACAGCTGTGGGTGGTGGTTCTCTCCTTCTGTCACGTGGGTCCCAGGGACTGAATCCAGATCATCAGTCTAGGAGGGAAGTGATTTTACCTAATGAATCATCTGATAAATGGTATCTTAAAACAAGACTTACATTGTATTTGTGTGTATGTGTGTGAGCATTGTATATCTGTATTTATATTTGTGTTTATATGCTACAGGGTGCATGTGAAATTCAGAAGCCAACTTCTTCTTTGTTGGTCTGGGGGCTCAAACTCAGGTTCTTGGGCGTGTGGCAGGTAGCAAGTATCTCACTAGCCCAAGGACTGCTAACCCAAGAGGATTAATCCAACAAAATAGTTTCAAGAAGCTACTTAAGTATCATCTTATAAAAATAAAAGGAACCTGAAAAAAAACAAAAATATAAAAGGAACTTATATAAGAATGTTCAGAGCAACACTATTCATAATAGCCAAAAAGATATAAGAAAGTCGCAGGGTGCTGGTGGTTTACACATTTAATCCCAGCACTGGGGAGGCAGAGGCGGGCAGATCTCTGAGTTCAAGGTCAGCCTGGTCTACAATGAGAGTTCCAGGACAGCCAGGGCTGTTATACAGAGAAACCCTGTCTCAAAAAAAAAAAAAAAAAAAAAAAAAAGATATATGCAGGTCGAGTATGATGAATGAAATATAAATCCATTGTTTATACAATGTAATATTAGTACTTTTATTAATTATTTGAGACAGTCTCATGTGTGCCAAGTTGGTCTTGAATTCCCTATTTAGCCAAGGATGATTGTGAACTTCTGATCTTGCCTCCACTTCCCCCAAACGCTGGAATTAAAGGCCTGAGCTACTCTGCTTGTTTTTATGCAGTGTTAAGTATTGAAGCCAGCATATTGTGCATGGTAAGTGAGCCATCCACCAACTGAGCTACAGACTCAGTACAGGTTTTGAGGACAGAAATGTCCTGGAATTAAATCTGCATATTTACGGCACTGAGTTACAGGCCACTGTGAACTACAAAGTCCGACCCTGTTTCAAAACCTATCAACTAACCAACTTGGGACTAAATTTTGGGGATGAGTGTTCAACACTGTCGGTGTACTAAGTGTCACAAATGGTCATTTGTATGTGTACTTCTCAAAACCTAAAAACGAAATGAAAATAAAAGTCTCTGGAAAGGGGCATACGAACTGTCTCCCACTGGAGTTCTTGGGAATTCAACCCTGGTCCGAGCCCAGGATTCTGAACCCTAAAAAGTTCAGATTCTCCAGGCTGGAGAGATCACACGGTGGCTAAGAACGCACTGGCTCTAAGCCAGAGGACCTAGGTTCAATTCTCAACACCTACATGTAACTCCATCTGTAAATCTAGTTCCAGGAGATCAAACACCCTCCTCTGGCCTTCGCGGGCGCCAGGTATGACAAAATATCCATATACATTTAAAAAAGAGAGAGGGAGAGAGCGAGGGGGAGAGTTGGGATTCTTTAGTCCAAGGGTAGCTCACCCCCAGTTAGGTCCAGCCAACGGAACACAAGCCACGCCCATTTCCGCCCTCGACAAAGTCCCACTCCAGCCGCTCTGAGATCCCGGCTCGGCTTCCACAGCCACAACCCAAGGCCCCGCCCCCTTTGCCTGTCCGTCAAACTCATTCTGGTCCCGCCCCATGCCTGTACTCCACGCCGCCCTCGGTTCGGCCCGTTGTTATGACGACATGGTCGTAAATCCGCCATCTTCCTGCGGCGCGTTGCGACATGGAGGGCGCGATGGCAGTGCGGGTGACGGCCGCTCATACGGCAGAAGCCCGGGCCGAAGCCGGGCGTGAAGCGGGCGAGGGCGGGGTTGCGGCGGCGGCGGCGGCCTTGTCCTCCGGCGGCTTTCTTGGCCTCCCAGCGCCCTTCAGCGAGGAAGGTAACGAGGCTGCAGGAGCCTGGCGCGGCCCGGTTGCTGGCGGCTCTGCCGGGACTGCGAGGTGCAGACTCGCCATCTGCAAACCTTCACAACTCTCACGGGCTTCCCTGCGGGCCACCCCCAGCCTGCCGGGCCCGGATGCAGGGGTTCATAGGGCGCCCATTTCTCCAGCCCCCTGGAGTAGACCTAACAAACGTCGCTCGCACCTCTTCAGCGATCCCCAGCCCTAGCTCCAGCGTCTTCTCCTTTGCCGCTGGGGCCTTGCTTGGCCCGGGAGGAGCAGGAGACTGAGGGCGGGGCCGCAGGGCCCTGCCAGAAAGGGATCAGGGACCTGACGTGGGGCGGCGGCACCGCCCCACTGAGGACCTGGGTCTTCTCTCCGGGGTGGAGCAACGACTCCAGGAATGTGCAGCACACTCCGCCGTCTCGGCTTTTACCATTCCTTAACCCCGAAAGGCGAACTATTATTACCACTCTTCACTTCAGAGATGGGGATAATTGAGGTTCAAGGATTGTAAAATGGTTGGGTCACTCATCTCGTTCCTGTCAAGGATCAGATTGGCGCCCTTTAATTTCCCCTAGGAGGACGGGGAAGAGTTAAAAGCTTGTCTGTATGCCGAAGGCTGTGTTGGGTACACTGAGGATTACTTCTCTGGATACTGGTATCTTTCAGAGATGGTTCAGGTGTCTGCTCTGAGTTAGTTCCACCAAGCTGTAGATGCGACAGGAAGTGGCTTGGCAAGAAATACTGTCCTAAGGGTGTTCAGTCTCACTGTAATCGAGTTTCTTCCGTAATACCAGCTTGGAGAGGGGCTGTTATGGTCTCAGAGGGATCTCTTTAGAGATTCTGGGTTTGTTTGTTTGTTTGAGACAGGAGCTCACTACGTAGAGGCGTTGCTGTCCTGGGACTCATTACGTAGACCAGTCTGGCCTTGAACTCAGAGACCCTCTGCCTCCCCAGCGCTGGGTGGTCTTAACGGCATTTACCACCACACCTGGCTTATAGATTCTTGGCTTTGTTTATGGCAGTGGTTCTCAACCTACATAATGCTGCAACCTTTTAATACAGTTCCTTATGTTGTGGTGACCCCTACCATAAGATTATTTCCTTGGGCCGGGCGCACTTCTTTGATCGCAGCACTCGGAAGGCAGAGGCAGGCAGATCTCTGAATTCTGGTCTACAGAGGGAGTTCCAGGACAGCAGAGGCTACACAGAGGAGCCATCTCCAAAAACAAGCAAACAAATTATTTTGTTGCTACTTCACAATTGTAATTTTGCTACTGTTATGAATTGTAATATCTGATAGCTCACCACTAGAGCGGTGGCAACCCACATGTTGAGAACGACTCCGGTTATGGCCTTTTCTCATTGTGAGATGGGATAGGTGTGTCCTTTTCTGGTTCAGTGGCTATTTATTTATTCATTCATTCATTCATTCATTCGAGACAGGGTTTCCCTGTAGCCTTGGCTGTCCTGGAAGTCACTATGTAAGATCAGGTGGCCTCACAGAGATCCTACGGCCTTTGCCTCCCGAGCGCAGGAATAAAAGGCATGTGTCACCACTGCCTGGCCAGTAGCAATGTCTTGGTGCTGAGTCAAACTGTAAATAAGAGGGATAAGAGATGGTAGGAACTTCAGTGCTTGCTTTGTGACTGTGAGCTATGTGGAGGGCACCACCCTCTTTCAGGTGGCCTGTGTGCCTGTCATAGCTTGGGTTTGCCCTTTTATTTGATTGTTAATTTGTCATTGAGTTTACTCCTCCCTTGTACCAGGCTAGGTTTGGCTTTAATCTGGGACTGAGTGTAAGATAGTGGAAACTAGTAGATTGTTCTGGAAACTAGTCTGGTTGGTTCAGCTGAGTGACCTTGAACCTTAATAATTTTCTTAGGTTGGACTTAGTCATACCTTTCCCCAGGGTGCTGGAATGATTCGCTTAAATTCTTAGGTGCTGAGCTGAAAGGAAGGCTCAGTGTTAAGAGTCCTTGTTGCAGCTGGGTGGTGGTGACACACTTGTGGTGCACAGACATCCATGCAGGCCAAACACCCACACTTGAAGTAAGAATAAACAAATCTAAAAGAAAAAATGGCTGCTAGTGGTGGTGCACATCAGCACCAGGGAGGCAGAGGCAGGTGGATCTCTCCGAGTTCGAAGCCAGCCCAGTTTTAAATAGTGAGTTCCAGGACAGTCAGGGCTATGTGAAAGACCCTGTCTCAAAGAGAGACACACAGAGAGACAGAAGGAAAAAGAAAAACAATAGAAAAAGCAATTCTCACATGCTTATTATGTAACTCCTGCAGGTCCAGGAGTGGATGCAATGATGGTGAGGGATCCAGATGCAGTATCTGGGATGTGTAACTGCTTTGGACTGCTTTATCTTTGGAGTATACTCTAGAGCAGGGTTGGTACCCAGTGGGGACCAATGTTACATCATATAAGAGAGAAAAGTGGTCACGGTATGGATATATCTCACTGGTAAACGTTTGCTTAGCATGATCAAGGCTCATTTTCAGCACCATATACACAGATGTATAAAGTAGTGAGATTGATGGGTGACAGCTCCTGCTAGTTTTCAGAACCCGCCGTATTAGCCAGAGCTCTGTGGACGTCTACCTTCCCGCCCCTGCAGTGCTCAGATGGATATATGTAACTGATCAGCTTATTTATCCTTCTCAAGATGTGGAAATTGAGATGCTTCACAGGAAATCACCAGCAGTCCTAAATTTTGTTTTCTTTCAAATTCTGGGGTCTACTGCATGTTAGGCAAGTATTCTACTACTGAACTCTTCCCTAGCTCTCCAGTAATCTTAAATCTAGGTGCTCTGCTGTCCCCAAACTTGCTTAGGTGAGCTCCTATGTCTCCCAGCCTCTCTCCCCAGCTCTGTGGTGCAGAGACTTTGGATATCACAGCTTCAGTTTGTCCTTGCAGGATAAATTTGCGGTCAGGGTAACCTGTGCAAAATACTGGTCTCCCTAATAGGTCTTGCTTCTGTAGACCTCTCAAATATGAGGTTAGACCTTAGTGTTCCCCAGCCCTGGATGTACTCCAGGATATCCTCAGCAGCTTTGGGGTCAGTAGACAGATCAGCTCTGGTTTTGGTGCCATCTTTGGGTATCTCTTGTCTCAGCCTTGAAGGACGCGGGATGAGGCCCTGACTGCCTCCAGTCCCCCTGACATGAGACTCATTGCAGATGAGGATGACGTGCACAGATGCGGCCGCTGCCAGGTGGAGTTCACTGCCTTGGAGGACTTTGTCCAGCACAAGATTCAGAAGACCTGCCACCGGACCCCTCAAGAGGCCCTGCCTACCACCCCTCCTGCCACTGCACTGCTGGGCCAGGAGGTAAGCCCCTTCCACACTGCTCTAGTTTGGCTCATCTCCCAGAAGGAAGAGGAAACAGTATCTTGAGCACCCTGAACTTTATGTTTAGGTTTATGACATGTAACCAGTTAGAAGTCAGACATGGCTCTGGGTGAAGGAAGACCAAGTCGTACCACCATGAGTGGAGTGGTGCTTTGGATGACCTGGGGTAGCTCAACCTCAGCAGCCTACATAGATTGGGGGCAGGAATCCTTCCTTTCTTCTGTGTGAAGGGTATCTTAGTTTAAGAGATCATGGCAGCCTTATCTCCTGTCCTGTATACATCTTGAAGTAGGGCCTACTGGGTCTTGGGACCTATATAAAGTTAGCCCACTTGATTGAATCCCAGTGATGTCTGGGGATATACTGACATAGTCTTACTAAATGCTGTTATATAGACAGCATTCCCATGAGTCAGTGGGTAGAATTAAGAAGAGGCTATGGCCAGGCTTTGTAATACAGGTCTGTAATCCCAGCTGCAGGGGAAGCTAAGGCAGAAGGATTTGAAGTTCAAGGCCAGTTTGGGCTACAATATAAGTCTGAGGTTACCTTAGATGACTTAGACTAAAAATAACATTTTAAAGGAGGCTGGAGAGATGGCTCAGTGGTTAAGGGCACTTGTTGCTCTTGTAGAGGACTCGGGTTCAGTTCCTAGCACTTGTATGGTAGCTCATAACCATCTGTTCCTACAGTTCTGGAGATTCTGATGCCCTTTTCCTGACCTCTGTGGGTGCTAGGCATGCATGTGATATACATACATACATACATACAAACAAGCAAAACACTCAAAAACACTCATATACATAAAAATAATTACATCTTTTATATCTTTATTAATGGAAAGGCCTAGGAATATAGCTGAACTGTGGCTGGTGACCTCTTTTTACAGGGGTCGCCTAAGACCATCAGAAAACACAGATACTGGGTCTGGAGAGATGGCTCAGTGATTAAAAGCATTGCCTGCTCTTCCAAAGGTCCTGAGTTCAATTCCTGGCAACCACATGGTGGCTCACAACCACTTGTAATGAGATCTGGTGCCTCTTCTGGCCTGCAGACATACACACAGGCAGAATATTGTATACATAATAAATAAATAAATAAATATTTAAAAAAAAAGAAAGAAAAAAGAAAACATATTTACATTATGATTCATAACAATAACAAAATTACAGCCATGAAGTAGCAAGAACATAAATCATGGTTGGGGTCACACAACATGAGGGACTGTATTAAAGGCCCACTGCTCTAAGGAAACCTCAGTGGCCTCAGGCTATCAGCAGGGAGGGAATGGGGTCAGGTGACATTGGAAAGAAATTAACTTTTCAGCCTTGCACTCAGTACTTTCCCCTCACTGAGCACACTCCACGAAGGTCTGTCTGCAGCCCTGGGTCCTTCCTTCTGACACCTGGCTGGGCTGTGCATGGGCTCCTTCACTCCTACAGCTAGCACGGCTTCATGCCTTCTAGGAGTCCCTTGCTGTATATGCTCTTGATCTGTGTCCAGGCTATTGTGGTCAGCGGTATTAGTCTGACGGGACTGATCATGACTCGGCCCAGGCTGGGAGTCAGGCTTAGACCCATGTTCCTTCGAGAGAAGAAGAATTCCCCCCCCCCCCTTCCTGCAGTTTGTGGAAGTTTCCCAAGTTCCCCTCTTCCACAGAGGAAAGTTATCTGTAAATCTGGAATTCATTTGTCTTTTGACCCCATTGATAGGTGGTGCCAACTGCAGCGGAGGGAGGTCCAGAGGAGCCCATAACTGTGGCCCACATCGTGGTGGAGGCCACCTCTCTGGCAGCAGACATCAGCCATGCTCCTGACCTTGTTGGTAAGCTGGTTGTCCATGGGTCGCCCTCAGCTCTGAGTCATTGACTTGATTATAGTCAGGGCTGGAGGGTCTTCACTGTGCACATCCTCCAATCTCCCAAGAGCAAGGCCTGTCCTCTCTGCAGAGGGGCCCAAGCCTTGTGTGAGCCTGGACCTTCCTTACTGCCCTGGAGTATTGGGGGCATTTGGGAATGTTCAGTCTATGCACCACCATGAACTTCTCCCTCTTATGTGCTGTCGCAGGCTGTTTCTGGCCCTGTCCTCAGCATCTTCTCCACATCCCTGCCACCCCAATTCGACCTTCCTGCCCCTAGGCAGCCCCTATCAGTGTACACCACAAGGTCCCTTGTCCCAGCAGTTGCCTTTGTAGGATCAGTAGGTGAATAGGCTGTGGCAGATGTCTCGGCTGGCCCTGACTTGTTGCTTGACCTTGGTTTTCATCACTTTGCTTGTTTACACTGGCATGGATCCTTGCCCTGATTCTTGATGGGCTTTTATGAGCATATAACGCCAAGCCTCTTTGATGGATAATGCTTTCAATTTAAGTACTCACTGGTGTACAGTGGGAAGGCGGGCTACTAAGAAGCCCGAGCTGGGTCAAGTGCTCATTAATTGGAGACTGCTGGCTATGCAGGGAGCATTCAAAGGGCATTCTGGGCTTGAGCAGGTGAAGGAGCCAAGGAGTTCAGGAGAAGGATGAGTGGCAGAGTGTTCAAAAGGGTAATGGGGCTGAGTCCAGTGTGGTTGATGTTGGGACGGGAACGATCATTGCTCTGCAAGGACTAAGGGAAATGAGTGAACGGGCAGTTGGACAGGAAAGGATTGGGACTGTGGGTAGAACTTGACCTTGAGAAGCTATGAGAATCAATTGGGACAGGAAGAGGAAAGATCTGTTGACAAAGCCAACCCGGGGCTTGGGAAGGGAGCCTCTAAGTACATTACCCTTCCCAGTGAGGCACCTGGACACCTGTCTGGGTTTCCAATGCCTTTCTCAATGTTCCTGCAACAGGAAACTCACTCCTTGACAGTCAGACTTAGGAATGTTGTCATGGGGGGTGGGGCCCTGCTCCTGCCCTGGCACAGAGTTTAGTTTCTGTAGTGGGAGGTGTTATTTGGGAAAACAAGTTCACTGGGTTCTGTTGTATAACCAGGCTCTGCCAGCTGGGTCCTTTCCTGCCCACTCCCAGTATTCAAGCTTTTGTTTAGCACAGCAGTCCTTACTTCAGGGACCCTCTGCTTCTCCTGTACCTTTTGTAGGCACCCCAAGGGGAGAGGAGTCAGGGTCACCAGCATTTCTGGTGACCTGGGTAAGAAAAGGTGGTGAGGGCTGCGTGGAGTGGCTGTATCGGCACTAGGCTCTTGGCATCTGGCCTAGCAGATGAGTTTCCTCTTGGGCCAGTGCACCTGTACTCCTCACCCATCAGGCCTCTGTCCTTTGGGAGCACTGGGCTGGAGCACGGGTGAGAAATACCCTTAATTGTTTGAGTCATGGTGCTCACTCATTCTGTTTTGAGAGAACGGCTTGTCACAACAAGACCAGCTGGATGGGAGGGTTTCACAGCTCGTTCCCACTCACCGCTTTCATGAGGAGAAAATGTGAAGTGTGTTTATAGTATGGCTTTGCACACTGTCAGATTCCAAAGCATCCTGTGAGAAGTGCAGAAACCTGACTTCCTTTCTCTTGCTATCTCTCAGATGTACAGTTTCTTCAGTCACGTCTGGACAGGGATCGGGCAGCACCCAGATCTATCTTTTCTTTGTATTGGTGAAACTGGAGCCACCCAGCAGAAAAATGGAGGGAGCTGAACTAGAATGTTCACTGCCTATTTACCCGAGGATCTGGGTGTAAAACCCCGTGTCTCTTGCTTTAGGGATGGATATCTCCTCATGGAGAATGCCCACATTGGGGCCCTGAGCTACAGGCAGCTCTACTGACCCGAAGGTGGTCAGGCACATGTCAGGCTGCCTCTAATAGGTGCTGCATTGATTTCCCTCAGTGCAGACTGGATTCAGGCTCTAGGCCCTGGGGCTTGGGTGGTGTGTGGTCTAGACAGTTATGTGGCTTTCCTGTGGACTCCTGTGGAGGGATACCCACGGGCAGGGCCTATAGTAGTGATAGGTCTTGAGGCTTACGTTAACTTGCCTCTCCTCAGGAAGTGGGCACATCAAAGAGGTCATTGTGGCTGCCGAGGCAGAGCCAGGGGATGGCGAGATGGCAGAGGTTCCAGGCAGTCCTAACCATCAGGAACTTGGGCTTATTGGGGAGGGCGAGCAGGCCCAAGTCAAGCTGCTGGTGAACAAGGAAGGCCGCTACGTGTGCATGCTATGTCACAAGACCTTCAAAACGGTGAGCCCCTGGGGCCGAGGGCCCGTTGGCTCCCCTGCCTACTCCTGTCCAGTGAGGTTCCTTGAGCCTTACTGCCCCTCCCCCACAGGGCAGCATCCTCAAGGCCCACATGGTAACGCACAGCAGCCGCAAGGACCATGAGTGCAAGCTCTGTGGTGCTTCCTTTCGGACCAAGGGCTCGCTTATCCGGCACCACAGGCGGCACACTGGTAAGTGAAGTGGGGTCAGAGCTACACTAAGTAGCCTGTGGACAGGCTCTGGGGGCACCCTATAGCTGGCCTGTGTCTTTGGATGAAGAGACGGGGCTCCATGCCTTGTGTTCCCTAAACACAGGACACTGTCTGTGCCACACTGAGGGCTGATTGTCCTTTCACAGATGAGCGCCCTTATAAGTGTGCCAAGTGTGGGAAGAGCTTCAGGGAGTCAGGCGCGCTAACTAGGCACCTGAAGTCTCTTACTCCATGTACAGAGAAGATCCGCTTCAGCATGAGCAAGGACACAGTTGTGGGCAAAGAAGAAGTGCCTGCAGGTCAGCTTGGTGGGGAGGCAGCCTGAGTTCTTGGGACAGGTGTTGCCAAAATTGGCTGCCGGGCTCTTCAAGGACTCATTGAACTCTTCCTTAAAGGGTCCAGTGCCTCCACTGTGGGGACAGTTACATCATCAGTGACAGGAGACCCCATGGAGTCATCACCTGTGATTCACCTGGTGACAGATGCCAAGGGCACTGTCATCCATGAAGTCCATGTTCAGATGCAGGAGCTTCCACTAGGCATGAAGGCCCTTGCTCCTGAGGTAGGTGCTGCTCTGCCCTTTGATCACACAGTGCTAGGACTCAGAAACTGCCTGCAGCAGGTCCAGGAGTTACAGCTCACCCCACCCTGGGAGGCACATGGGTTGTGGGGAGAGCTCCTTAGATGGCGTGTGCAGGCAGGGAAGCTGCTGGGGTTTGAGGTGAAGGCCAGGGAGAATGAGCTGGAATTTAGTCAGGGAGAACAGGCAGCTGGCAGTGCACCATGGGGTTGCCATGTGGCGTGGGTGAGAATGGGTACCCTGTACCGGGCTTCCTGACAGGCCTCCGTCCTTCCTTCTTTCCCCCTACCTCCCTTATAGCCCCCAGACCCTGAGGAGCTCCCCTGTTCCAGCGAGAACAGCCGTGAGAATCTGCTTCATCAGGCCATGCAGAATTCTGGCATCGTCCTCGAGCGGGTTGCTGGGGAGGAGAGTACTCTGGAGCCAGCCCCTCCCTCTGAGTCCAGTCCCCAGTCCCTGGGAGAGGGACCCCCGGAACTGCCACTGCTGGAGGTGGAGCAGATAGAGACAGTAGGTTTCCATTACTGGCATGATCTTTCTGTGAGGTTGGCCCAGTGTCTGATTAGCATGCTGGGGGTGGGAGGGGCTGCCACCTCCTAATGCACTTTTTTTTTTCTTTTGAGACACAGTCTAATGTAACCCAGGGTGTCCCAAATTTACTATGGAGCCATTGTTGGCCTCAGTTTTTGATCCTCCTGCTTCTGCTGAATACTGGACTCGGGGACATGCACCACTGTGCCTGGCTTGAAAAGCGCATTGCTTTCTGCTGTGATTTTGTTCTCTGTTAATTTCTTTACCTAAGGCCATAAGGCCAAGAGAGAAGAGGGCTGGCTCTTGTGTTTGGCACCTTCGGAGTGTAGTTACAGGAGGTGCTAGTGGTTGGTCTCTGGTCCCCCAGCAGGTGGCCAGTGAAGCTTCAAAGGTGCCTAGGACCCACCCATGCCCTCAGTGCAGTGAGACTTTCCCAACAGCAGCCACCTTGGAGGCCCACAAGAGAGGTCATATAGGTGAGTAGCAGGGAGGTAGGCCTGTGGGCTGGCAACTGGTGGGCTTGTGGGTGGTGAAAATGGCCTAATGCTGAGTGTGGCTTCAGGGCCGAGGCCATTCACCTGCACACAGTGTGGCAAGGCCTTCCCCAAAGCCTACCTACTCAAGAAGCACCAGGAGGTGCACGTGCACGAGCGCCGCTTCCGCTGTGGAGACTGTGGGAAGCTTTATAAGACCATCGCTCATGTGCGGGGCCACCGACGTGTCCACTCAGACGAGAGGCCTTTCCCTTGTCCCCAGTGTGGCAAGCGTTACAAAACCAAGGTAAGCCTTTGGTCCTGCAATCCTTATGCTTGTACCCACCCTCCACTGTCTTAACTGGGGGTCTGGCTGTGTCCTGTCACCTTCTTCCCAGCCTAGACCTGGGGTGGGGGCTGTGGTTGAGGACAGGCTGTCATGGAAGGGTTTCCCTAGAATGCCCAGCAGGTGCACTTCCGGACACACCTAGAAGAGAAGCCCCACGTGTGCCAGTTCTGCAGCCGAGGCTTCCGGGAGAAGGGCTCACTGGTGCGGCATGTGAGGCACCACACAGGCGAGAAGCCTTTCAAATGCTACAAGTGTGGCCGTGGCTTCGCAGAGCACGGCACACTCAACCGGCACCTGCGCACCAAAGGTCTGAGCCACAGGTGGCAGGAGAGGGTGAGGGCTGGGGTCAGTTGTCCCTGACTGACTGAGCTGAGCTTCCCTGTGGGCAGGGGGTTGCCTGCTGGAAGTGGAGGAGTTGCTGGTATCTGAGGAGAGCCCCTCTGCGGCTGCCACTGTGCTGGCAGAAGACCCCCACACCGTGCTGGTGGAGTTCTCCTCGGTGGTGGCTGACACCCAGGAGTACATTATCGAGGTAGGTACAGGGCGGGGGGGGGGGCAGTGGGACTCGGGCCAGCCCAGGCTGACCTAATTGGCTTTCCAGGCTACTGCAGATGACACAGAGACCAGTGAAGCCACTGAGATCATCGAAGGCACCCAGACAGAGGTGAGGGTCTAGGGGAGGTAAGGGAGGGTCATCAGGCTGCTGAGCTGTCCCTCGAGCTGAACTGTGGTCCTTGCAGGTGGACAGTCACATCATGAAGGTGGTACAGCAGATTGTGCACCAGGCTGGTGCTGGGCACCAGATCATCGTGCAGAATGTGACCATGGACCAGGAGGCAGCACTGGGCTCAGAGGCAGCTGCTGCTGACACAATCACCATTGCCACTCCCGAGAGTCTCACTGAACAAGTGGCCATGACACTGGCTTCAGCAATCAGTGAGGGCACTGTGCTTACAGCCCGTGCAGGTCCAAACAGTACTGAACAGGCCACTGTGACAATGGTGTCATCAGAGGACATAGAGATCCTGGAGCATGGAGGAGAGCTGGTCATTGCTTCACCAGAGGGTCAACTTGAGGTGCAGACTGTCATCGTGTAGCTTGAAAGCCTCTGCTGTGGTGGAGTGAGGACCCCGAGTGCCTGCCCACACCTGCCCGCTCAGAAGACTGAAGTTCAGGCCCAGAGGAGCTGAGAGACTGTGGATATGCAGAGTTTTTGTTTGTTTTTTTGCTTTACAATAAAACATGAAAATCTGCAGCTTGTGATGTTAAGGTTGAGGCAGCCTCTGGCTGGCACCACTGCCTTCATAGGTACCCTCTAGCCACAAACTTGGCTTGCAGCCCTGGTGGCGCCTCAAGGCGCGTAGGTGTCTCTGGCATGTTGACAGACGCCTCTTGATGCTGTCCTACCCGGCTGCATCCCGGACTCCAGCTTTCACAGGCCTGCTTGGGTGTGAGATGTTCCTTCTCACCTGTCATATCGGGGACTGCAGGGGGCTAGGGGTTGGTCTAAAGACCTAGGACTCTGGATCAGTCTGATCCTCTGTGATGGGCAGGTGTTAGGGAAGCTGCAGGAGAAGTTAGCAGGCTAGGGCTGGTCTCCTGATTCATTATCCTGTTTCGCTGATGGGCTGCAACTCAAGGCAACTTATTCTGGGCTATCTAGTTTGAGGTGAAGATGACGAGTGAGGCTGGCCGTGTGCGGCATGGTTGTCCCTCACTGTAGTGCTGCTGAGATCGTCTAGGGGGCTGCCAGGGGCTTCTGCCATGATTCTAAGTAAGTGGAACTGGTTTGGCATATGCCCCATCTCTCGGGTCTCTGGAATGGGAGCCAGGTCTGGAATCCACCCCATGGAAGGGGCGGTTCCCGTTGTAGTCCAGCCCCTTCCTGGTCTAGGGCTTCAAATACCTGTGGGTGCTTTGGAACCAGAGCTACTGTATCCAAGACTGCAGTTCATCTTGGGCCACATGAAGCCCTTAATCTGGATTGAATCTCTCTGACTGACTCAGGACATTGGGTTTTTGATACCACCTTATTCACAACCCAGGTAAGTCTAGGGGCTGGGCTGGAGGCTGGGTGGGAACAGAGGCCTCCCATCCTTGGAATGAGAGGTCATCATGTGCCCCCCTTCCCAGCCCACACACGTACACACTGAAGAAACATGGAGAATGCAGGGATGCAGAGCAATGTGGGCGCCAGACCTAGTTGGCCTGGTATGGGTTGGTGTTACTCTGGGACATTCCTGTCTCCAGGCTTCCTGCTTTGCCATGGGTTGGCCCTGGGCCTTGCTGACAGCTCTTTGGGCACTGGGGGCCATGGGGGCTACAGCGCTGCGTATTGGAGCCTTCAACATTCAGAGCTTTGGTGACAGCAAAGTGTCAGATCCAGACTGCGGCAGTGTCATAGCACAGGTGAGGCCCAGTGGGGTAGCAGAGGAACAGGATGAGGGCAATGCAGGCGGGGGGGGGGGGGGGGGGGGGGGGGGGGGGGGGGGGGGGGGGGGGGGGGGGGGGGGGGGGGGGGGGAAGGTGGGGCGCAAGATGGGACTAGGAGCTAGGCTCTGGGCAATCAGGCTGACTGGGACAGTGCACCTGTGGGTTCTTCCTTTAGATCCTGGCTGGCTATGACATCGCCCTGGTGCAGGAGGTACGAGACCCAGACCTGAGTGCAGTGTCCTTGCTCATGGAGCAAATTAACAGGTGTGGCAGGGCCGGGCACCACAACCCCAGCCACAATCACAAGCTTGGTTTGGTGCCTTGACCCAGGGACTGGCGCATCTCTCCACAGAGTGTCCAAGCACAAGTACGGTTTTGTGAGCAGCAAGCCACTTGGACGTGACCAATACAAGGAGATGTATCTGTTTGTTTACAGGTGAGGGGTGGGGTGAAGGGAGGGGACATGGGCAGGGGTGACCAGCTCCGCAGACCACTTGGTCCTCTGCTCCCAGGAAAGATGCGGTGTCGGTTGTGAGCACATACCAGTATCCAGACCCAGAGGATGCCTTCAGCCGGGAACCTTTTGTGGTCAAATTCTCAGCTCCTAGCTCTGGTGAGGTTGATGCTGCCCTCTCCCAGACCTGCCTCTGCCAGGCTGTCCTTGAATCTCATGCTCCCACCTCCCTTCCGCAGCCGCCAAGGAGCTTGTGCTGATCCCCCTGCATGCAGCACCGCACCAGGCAGTGGCAGAGATCGATGCCCTCTACGATGTGTACCTTGATGTCATTGACAAGTGGAACACCGATGTAGGCCACTCCCTCCCCCGCTCCCTAACTCACATCCCAGAATACTAAAGGTGTGCTCAGGTCTGGACCACTGCGCCCTGATTTACCGCTGTGCTTGCCCATAGGACATGCTGTTTCTGGGCGACTTTAATGCCGACTGCAAGTACGTCAAGGCCCACGACTGGGTATCGATCCGCCTGCGCAGCAGTGAGGTGTTTAAGTGGCTCATCCCGGACAGTGCAGACACCACAGTGGGCAACTCCGACTGTGCCTACGACCGGATCGTAGTGAGTGGTGCCCACCTGCGCAGGAGCCTGAAGCCCCAGTCAGCTGCTGTTCACAACTTTCAGGAGGAACTGGGCCTAGATCAGACGCAGGTGAGTGTTGGGTAGGGCTCATGAAGAGGGACCCAGCAGACACACCAGCCCACTCAGGAGGGGCTTACAGAAATACTTGCCGTGAGTTTACACTGCTGTTCCCTCTACAAAGGCAACCATAGCCAAGGATCCTTAGTGCCAGCCCCCTAGGAAGGGACCGTTGGCATGTTTCTGTTCCTTTGCCACATGGGGGCACCATGAGACCCATGGGTGGCCACCCGGACTTTACCATCCCCCTTCTCAGCTGGGACATGTTTCTCTGCTGAACTGCTGAGACTCCACCCCTCTCCTTCCAGGCTCTTGCCATCAGTGACCATTTTCCTGTGGAAGTGACCTTCAAGTCTCACTGACAGCTGAGGCCCGGCCAGGATACGCCACCTGCAGACTCTGTCCCTAAGGAATGGCATCATAAGGAATCACTGGGTGGCGGGCCACCCACCCACTGAGAATACAGGGCAGGGCCAGCTGGTGTGGACAGTGGCCATGGGCACATTACAGGATTACTGGGAGCCTGTTTCCTTTCTGTAAGGAGTGCTGATATCACGTGATCTACCTCATAGGGCTGCTGTGGAGAACCTGTGGAAAGCACCGGAGCAGCATGTACTAACTGCATGCTTAGTGAACAAGCTGCTCTTGGCCAGCATTACCCACACGTTGGATGAGGCTTCTGTGCCTTCTGAGACCTCGGTTCCTAGGCTGTAAAACTTGGTCTTAATGCCCAGTAGATCTCTTTCCATTGCTCTCAAGGAAATGGATGGCTTAGCTTGTCCACTTCCCAGCCTGGTGGAAACCGGTCACTTCTAGACCATGCCAGTTCCCTGTTCTTATTTCCTTTGTACAAACTTCAAACGCTTCCCATGCTCATTCTGCCCTTCAGGGATCTTGACACACTCATCTGAAGCAGAGCTGGGTTCTTATCTTGCTCTGCAGGAGCAAGGGAAGCTGCACCCACCCAGTGTGTGAGCTGTTCTGGAACTTTCTGGGGAGGAACCCCACACAGCAAAACAAAGGCACCTGCTTGGCACTCAAGTCCTGCCCAGAGCCCATGCCCGTGCTTGGGTTGAGCCCTTCAAAGGAGTCTTATGGTCTTATGTAGCTTCTTCCCTGGAGTCCTGGGCAAGGCCCTGAGGATGGAGGTTTATGCTCGGGTGGGCCATCACTTTAGGAGCAGGAAATTGTTCCATGGACACAAGGCTCTCGCGAGGTTTCTGGTTGTTAAAACTTCCCATCTTTGTGTGTATGTATTTATTTTTGTGTGTGTCTGGAGGTCAATAAAATATCTTTAGTGGCATTAGAGAAATCGGTCTGAGTCACATAGAAACAACCCTTGTGATGACTTAGAAAAGTTTGTTTGTTTGTTTGTTTGTTTGTTTGTTTTAGCATTTCTGGGAATTGAACCAAGGACCAGAACGTGCTAGGTAGGTGCTCAATCAAGCCTCATTCTCAACCTACAAGTCTTGCAAAATCTACGCACGATTCAGGACTGCACTGAATAAGCAGTACTGGGCTGAGGATGCGGCTCAGTTGGCAGTGCTGGCCTAGCACGCACGAAGCCCTGGGTTTGGTCCCCAGCACGCAGAGGTTGAGGGAGGAGAGGCAGTCCTCATCTAGGGCAGGAATGGTGGCGTGGTCACAGGAAGGTAACAACCCTTTAGTCCTCCACATTCCTGTTCCTCAGGTTCTTCTGATAGCTGTCTGTTCTTTCTAAATGAAAATGTACGTGCCCTTACATTTCCTCCGGCGATCTTAGTAGATAACTGGGGAGGGAGACTGTCTGGCCTTAGAGGTTCCAAAAAGGCAGCCAGTAAAAGGCCAAGGATAGGCCAACCTGCAGACATTGTTCACAATTCTGCTTTAAGATGGACAAGCAGTGTGACGTTTTGTGTTCACCAGGCAGAAGGGTGCTTGTGGTTGGAGCTGTAAGGCAGTACGCTTCAAGGAACAGCTTCTTTGTATGAGCGTGTGACTGGATAGCCAGAGGTCAAGGGGTATCTGCCTTGTTTTGAGACAAGGTGTCCCACTGGCACTCACTAATTAGGCCAGAGGATCCCAGGGATCTGCCTGTTCCTGTCTACCCAGTACTGGATTACAGTGCACCCACCGTGACTTGCTTCTTATCAAGCTCACGATGGCATGGTGACCACTTTATTGACAGACCTACCCCCCCTGCTAACAGGACTGCTTAAAAAAATACTGTGTGTGTCTCTGTGTGTGTCTGTATGTGTGTATGTGTACCATGTGCATGCAGTGTCCTTGGAGCAGAGAGGGCACTGGCTCCCGGAGTTACAGAGGGTTATGAGCCACCATGTGGGTTCTGGGAATTGAACCTGGGTTCTGTGCAAGAGCAGTCAGTGCTCTTAACCACCAAGCCACCTCTTCTTCCTGAACAGGACATTTTTAAGGTCAGGAACACAAGAGCTAAGAATTTTTAAGTTGAAAAATACCTTGTTTATAATCCTTGGGACCAGGAGACCCCAGAAGGCACGCGTGACCAAACATCCGTGGGGCTTTAGCCCCTCTTTTGCTTGAGCTTTTCCAAGTACACTTGCAGGGACTTCTGGATAGAGTCTCGGGAGATGAAGCTGACGAAATACTGGATGTCAGCCTCCCGCTGCTTGATCAGGTTGTCTGCCGTGGCCTTTCGCATCATACTCTTGGTCAGCTGCCGAGAATGGTCTAAAGAAAATGGGGCTACTTGTGAAATTCACCTTCAGAGAATGTGGGGCCGTTCCTGCTGTTCTACATTTCCTGCAGGTGTTGAAACACAGGCTCTCAGAAAATCAGAGAGAGCTGGGTGTCTTAGCATTTGGGGAGTTCACGGTCAGCCTGAAATGAACACCTTGTCAAAACGAACAAAAATACAACGTAGAAGCAGACAGGAGGGAACTGTAAGAGTTCGTTATTGCTGCTGCTGAGACAGTCTCTCCAGGGTGGTCTTTAACTTGTAGGTCTTTTTCAGTCCCCTGGGTGCTAGGATTATAGTCACATGACACTATGCCTGCTTGACTTAAAAAAAACAAACAAACCCAGGTATGACCTTTTAAAGATTTATTATGTATACAGTGTTCTGCCTGTGTATATGCCTGTAGGCCAGAAGAGGGCACCAGATTTCATTACAGATGGCTGTGAGCCACCATGTGGTTGCTGAGAATTGAACTCAGGACCTCTGGAAGAGCAGTCAGTGCTCTTAACCTCTGAGCCATCTCTCCCAGTCCAAAATTTTTTTTACTGTCATTTTTAGGGCTGGACACACAGGTCAGTGGTAGAGAACATGCACAATACCCCGAGTTCCATCTCCAGCACCTCAGATAACCAACACACCATTTTCGTTGAATTGTATTATGGACCACATTTCTGTATCAGTAGATACTTGCTTGTGGATGTAGAGACTGGCTACTTGACTCCAAGGAGGTCCACCCAGAAGGCTCTTTTCAGGGAAATTCAAAAGAATACTTGGTAACATTTGGGACATACGTGACATTAAAGTTTTAGTGTCTTAACTGGTGGTACATGCCTGTATCTCAACAGGGAGAAGTGGAGGCAGGGGGATTCCAAATTTGAAGACATGGGTTAAGTAGGTTGCTTCAGGGAAATCTTAGCTACACAGTGAGACCCTGTCTTTTTTTTTTTTTAAGATTTATTTTGTACACAGTGTTCTATCTGCATGTACACTTGAAGAGAGGGCGCCAGATCTCATTACAAATGGTTGTGAGCCACCATGCCGTTGCTGGGAATTGAACTCAGGACCTCAGGAAGAGCAGGCAGTGCTCTTAAAGGCTGGGCCATCTCTCCAGCCAAGAGTCAAACACCAAAGTCTTGGTGTCCCTGCAGCTTCACAGGGTGCAGCTGTGTTCCTGATGGCTTCCCCTTCTGTAAGAGCCTGTGTGTGTTCCTGATGGCTTCCCCTTCTGTAAGAGCCTGTGTGTGTTCCTGATGGCTTCCACCTTCTCTAAGAGCCTGTGTGTGTTCCTGATGGCTTCCCCTTCTCTAAGAGCCTGTGTGTGTTCCTGATGGCTTCCCCTTTCTCTAAGAGCCTGTGTGTGTTCCTGATAGCTTCCCCTTCTCTAAGAGCCTGTGTGTTCCTGATGGCTTCCCCTTCTGTAAGAGCCTGTGTGTGTTCCTGATGGCTTCCCCCTCTGTAAGAGCCTGTGTGTGTTCCTGATGGCTTCCACCTTCTCTAAGAGCCTGTGTGTGTTCCTGATGGCTTCCCCTTCTCTAAGAGCCTGTGTGTGTTCCTGATGGCTTCCCCTTTCTCTAAGAGCCTGTGTGTGTTCCTGATAGCTTCCCCTTCTCTAAGAGCCTGTGTGTTCCTGATGGCTTCCCCTTCTGTAAGAGCCTGTGTGTGTTCCTGATGGCTTCCCCCTTCTCTAAGAGCCTGTGTGTGTTCCTGATGGCTTCCCCTTCTCTAAGAGCCTGTGTGTGTTCCTGATGGCTTCCCCCTTCTCTAAGAGCCTGTGTGTGTTCCTGATGGCTTCCCCTTCTCTAAGAGCCTGTGTGTTCCTGATGGCTTCCCCTTCTGTAAGAGCCTGTGTGTGTTCCTGATGGCTTCCCCCTTCTCTAAGAGCCTGTGTGTGTTCCTGATGGCTTCCCCTTCTCTAAGAGCCTGTGTGTGTTCCTGATGGCTTCCCCCTTCTCTAAGAGCCTGTGTGTGTTCCTGATAGCTTCCCCCTTCTGTAAGAGCCTGTGTGTGTTCCTGATGGCTTCCCCTTCTCTAAGAGCCCTGATCCACAGCAGCACGGAGCAGATAAACAGTGCAGCCTACGTTCACAGAACCCGACTTGCCCCAAAGCTGCCCGCTGCTTGCTTCTCACCTGGAATGGCCAGCCACTGGGCCATCACTGAGCGAGTCTTGCTGAATACCTGGTCCTCAGGCACCACCTCGTCCACCACACCCACCTTGAGGGCCTCTGCTGGTGGGAAGAGCGTCCCCAGCTGAAGGGCACGCTCCGCTGCTCGGTGCCCAATGGTGTTCACAAAGTTGTCTTTGAACCTGGAATGAGGACATCCTTTACCTCAGTGCTGGTGGTGGTGGGGATATATATGTGTGTGTTGTCAAGTAGACTGCAGTCCCTCGTCTTACCAGAAGGGGGCAACAATGCCCAGCAGGGTCTCATTTAATCCTATGGTGTATTTGGGGTTGTCAGCCATAATCCTGTAGTCACAGGTAAGAGCTATGAGGCAGCCTCCAGCTGGAGAAGCACCCTGTACAGAGAAGCAGAGCCTTGGTCTGTAGGTGTTCCACCGGTTCCTAGTAATATTCCCTAAACAGGGCTGAGGGTGGGCATGAGCTCTTGTCACTGCACTGATCTGGGCCAAGTCTGCCCAACAGGTATGTAAACTGAGACTGGCCACCTAGGGACCAGCAGCGGGGATCTTAAGAGGCCTAAGTTTTACCCATGGGCTCGAAGGCCTTCACATGTGGCTCTTTAGCTTTTAGGGGGCCAAAAAATGACCCTTAGGACAGCAAGTTGCCTCTCCCTTTCTAGCTTTTATCTGATGCTAATGTTCAAGACAACTATTTAGACAGAGCTGTCAGGCCATGAAATTGTTCCTGGTGGTCAGTCCTACCACGATGCCTGGGAACCCCAAATGGCAGTGTCTGCAATGCGTGTCCCACGCTGAGACAGGCCTCTTCCCCAGGCTTGTGTATCTCTAAACTAACCTTCTCTTCAGTCCTCCCTTTTCGCTCCTGTAGCTCTGATCCTTAGAGCTATCCCCTCAGAGAACCCTGCCCCCTTTTTTTTTTTTTCCATTTCTTTTTGTGTTATTTTCCCCCTCCCAAGAAAGGGTTTCCTGTGCAGTCCTGGAACTCACTCGGCCTCTTGTTGGGATTAAAGGTGTGCAACACCACCACCCCACAAGAACCCTGCTTTTATTAAGTCGAACCCCAATCCTTTCTCTACTGCTCTGTCTTTCCAAGGTCAGGTCAGAATATCACCTCCCAAGTGTTGGTCTGTTCAGAGTTCATTCCAGCCCACCAGGCCCTGGTCCCACCCAAGTGGCCTTTTTTCTGCTAGGTCCGTCTGGCCCAGGAAGGTCAGCACCTGAGTGTCCCCAGGGGCTGGGGTGGGGGCACTCACATTGATGGCGGACATTATGATCAGCTTGGACAAGTAGAGCCTCAGCCACAGCTCCTGCACAGCCTTCCAGTACTCAGCGTAGTGGGCTGGGTTCCGGCCGTACATCTCCGTCAAGTCTAGACCAGCTGAGAAAACACCCGGGCAGTCCTGCCAGGAGAAGCCAGGATCATGTTCGACCAGTTAAGAAGCCGCTTCCAAGAAATCAGAACTGAGAGTGTCAAGGACATGGCCTGGACCCTCCCCTGGACTGACTCTTCTTTCTGGAAGCTTCA